TGATAAGCTCTCCCTCAGGTTACCCGAGTCAAGTCCACAATATTATGAGTATATGTTTATAAAAACTTGTTTGATTCAAAAAATACGATCTTCTGAAGTTTTACCGTTAAAATTTTTTCCATGAGATTTTTTGGATCAAACAAGTTTCTATAGTCATAAACTCATAATATTGTGGCCTTGAATTGAGTAACCTAAGGGGAGCTCTGTGGTATCACAAAACCTATTGGCATTACAAAATTTTAGAAATTTTAGAATAAAACTTCGAAAGATCATAATTTTTGACTCGGGTGTTCAAAACAGATTTTTTTTTATTCCACATAACTTCTCGAGAGTTACCAGGAGAATTTTTTTTGAACGTTTACTCGAGTACAAGACTTATATATTCGGGTATATTGCGTGGAACAACAAATACTCAAGTATCTAGATCCTATACTCGAATAAATGTTCAAAAAATCCGAGAATACGAAATATACTTGAATATATGAGTTGCTCAACGGTCAAATAAGGGCAAGTTGGTGATATACTTTGAAACATGGGCAAAGAAGTATTTATTTTGATAAAAATGGGCACAATGTTAAATAGGGGAAAGAAACTTCTTAATATAGTTGTCTAAGAATTAGTCACGAATTAGTCACTTTTGTAGTCACTAGCTCCCTGTTTGTACTCAACACGTTATAAGGTAGAGTTGCTGTCAGTTACAAAATTTTCTGAGAAGAGCGAAGGGTTAATACACAATTAGATTAAAAATTCTTGATAATTTTTTTTTTTTTTTTGGAGTTACTCAATTCTAATTATCTCTTTGAGACGAGTTGGCTCCCTCCGGTATCCCCACGAGCTTCGACTCTTTGAGCCGGCTATGAGACTAATCCGGAGTGCGGAGGAACAGTGATGGCTAAAGATTCAGCCCCCTTCCCAAGAATGCATTCAGCGAGAATCGAACACATATCCAACCCCGTTAACTCAGCGCCAAGTTACCAACTGAGCTGCACCCATTGGGTCAATAAATTTTCTATATACACACACAAAGAATAATATGAATAAAATTGAAATATTAAACTTGGAGGAGAAGGTAAATTTATTATTTTTTAAATGAGCCCAAGATAAAGGTATGTACAAAATCGAGGGATAGTGGTCTTTCAAAACCCCTCCCTATCTATCTAAACCACTTTGTGGCTGCTGTATTATTTTTAAGATAATAAAAATGTTTATTCTTTTAAATGATATAATTTATATCCTTTCGCTCTCACAAATAGATAGGACTTATACCTTTATATTTTTTATCCACTCTTTCTTTCTTTATCTGTCTTTTTCATTTCACTTAAAATGACATAATTTTACATCTTTAAAATAATACATATTTTTTCCTTTTAAGATATTCATTCCCTTGAAAAGAAAACACCGAAATAATTCTCCTAGTGGTTGGTTGGTGTGGTGGAGCGACCGTTGACGTGGAAAAGCGGATTAAAGGCCAAACCCATTTGCGCCTACCGTATGGCCTATGGGTATTGGCCTATTGGGTACCAAACTGAAAGCCTTGAAAACAAAACCACGTGCCTGCCTACTTTATTTATTTTAAAATTAATATTATTTGAAATTGAAAAATACTTAATTTAATTTCCTTTACATATTTAATTTTTAATAATTTTTAATGTTTCTATGTCGACACATTAATCTACTTATAAAACATAGACACATTTAGAATATAGAACATTATATTTTTACAAATCAGCTGAATGTTTTATAATATTTTTATCGTTAATTTTTTTATATACATATGAATAACTATGATGATTTTTGTTAGATATACTAATATTGTGTCATATTTGTATCGTTTTTTTGGTAATCATCTATAATTTGACAATAAATTAATATAATATATCATTTTAAGATAATTTGATAGTGTATTGTGACATTTGTTAAATAATACTTTTTAAAAGATGATTTAATTTTAATATTTTTAAACTGCATTTTAGCTTATCGAAATGATTATTTTATATTAGATTATTCACATGAGTAATGAATAATTAAGTCATTACTAACCATCGCAAAAATAATGTACAAATTCTGAAGTAAATATACCAAAATTGTTGATATATAATATCTTTCTTCGGGACAAATATTTGTATCTCAAAATCACTTCGATTTCACCAAAAATGAAAGAAAGCTCAATGCAAAATTAAACAAAGAGAAAAACAAATCACAGTTATTTAAAAAATTTAATGTTTTTTTCTCAAAAACATTTAAAATGCGACCCATCACATAAGTTGATGCCATTCCTTTGAAAACAACACAAGCTTATTCCTCATCCCTTTTCAAAATACCAATTCAATTCAAGGTCAAACATCAAAATTGAGAAGAAAAAAAAATTGGCCACTTGAAAAAACATATTGTTAAAATATATTTTTCTATTCTTATACACGAGACTCGTTTTAAATTTGACTCATATATTAATTTAGCATATATATGTGGATAAATTATAGGGTTTGTTTTTTCTGCGATTACTGCAGATAAGTTATCTGCAGTAAGTTCAATACGATGTCATTTTGAGACGGAAATCATGGTGTTTTTATAATTTTAATTTATTACAGGGTTTTATAGTTTTTATAGTTATAATTTTCTAATCTTTCAATCCCAAAACGATGTCGTTTTGGAAATAAATGCAGATAACTTATCTACAGTAACTGTAGAAATATTTTTCTGTAGATTATATTTACTATTATTTTTTCTTAAAACTTTTTATCATCTTGTTATCGTTGGATCAAACTCAAATCAATGACTCTCATTTGATATTATTTTATAACTGTTGATTTAATTTTGTTCCAATAATAATAAAATTGATAATAAGAAGTGGTAAGAAAAAGTAATAGTAATTATCCGGGGAAGGATATACTTACCACAAAAAAAGTTTACAACCTTTACAACCAACGTAATCACCGTTGATTTCCGTCAATCAACGGTTCTAATTTATTGGAAATTATTGGGTCTCATTTATTAATTAATTATTATTCTCAATAAATTAGAACCGTTAGATTGACAGAAATCAACGGTAATTAGGTTGGTTATAAAGGTTGTAAACTTTTTTTGTGGTAAATATATACTGCCCCATTATATCCTGCCAATATATATATAGGGCTAATCATTTCTCAAGCTGCTTGAGATAATTTTATTTTCGGCTACTAAATCATAACCGTACAAAGATGGATCAACGGTGATAAAGGAAAAGAGAGAAAAAAGGAATCATAACCATTCAAAGATGAATCGATTATTATAAGGAAATAAATAAACAAAACGACGTAGTTTTGGGGAGGCCAGAAATAACCTTATCTCAAGTTGTCAGAGAAATATTTTTCCCATATATATATATATATGGAAAAATATTTCTACAGTTACTTTAGATTTGATTATCTATAGCTACCCTAAAAACTACGTCATTTTGATTAAGGAAGGGTGTTTCTGTAATTTTAGATGAAATAATGGAGGGTGTTTCAGTAAATGCATATAATAAAAAAATAAATAAAATTATGAAAACACCCTTCATTAATTCACCTAAAATTACAGAAACACCATTCATTAATCAAAACGACATATTTTTTGGGTAGCTGTAGATAACCTTATCTAAAGTGGTTGTAGAAATGTTTACCCCTATATATATAGGGTTTGCTTTTTCTACAGTCAATGTAGATAACTTATCTACATTGAGCCTAAAACGACGTCGTTTTGAGGTGGAAATCAAGGTATTTTTGTAATTATAATATATTTTAGGGTTATAATAGTCTTTTTCATTATAATTTTTTAATTTTTCAATTCAAAACGACGTCATTTCGGAAACGAATGTAGATAACTTATCTACATTTACTTTAGAAACGTTAAAGCCACACACACACACACACACACACATATATATATGGAAAAAAATATTTCTCAAGTAGCTTGAGATAAATTTATCTCCGGCTACTTCAAAACTACGTCGTTTTGTTTATTAATTTCCTTATATTAATTGATTCAACTTTGAATGGTTATAATTCCCTTTTTCTCTCTCTTCCTTCATCACCATTGGTCCATCTTTGTACGGTTATGATTTAGTAGCCGGAGATAAAATTATCTCAAACAACTTGAGAAACGATAAGCCACACACACACACACACATATATATATATAGGAAAAATATTTCTCAAGCTGCTTGAGATAAGTTTATTTCCAGCCACCCCAAAACTACGTCGTTTTGTTTATTTATTTTCTTATATTAATTGATTTACCTTTGAATGGTTATGATTCACTTTTTCTCTCTCTTCCTTTATCACCGTTGATCCATCTTTGTATGGTTATGATTTAGTAGCCAGAGATAACATTATCTCAAGCAGCTTGAGAAACGATAAGCCCATATATATATATGTGGAAAAAATGTTTCTGCAGTTAATGCAGATAAGTTATCTGCATTTATTCCCAGAATGACATCGTTTTGGTATTGAAATCATAAAAAAATATAAATATAAAGAATATCATAACCCTGAAATAAATTAAAATTACAAAAATACCATGATTTCTGTTCCAAAACGACGTCGTATTGGGTTTACTGCAGATAACTTATCTGCAGTAACTGCAGAAAAAGTGAACCCTATATATATATATATATATATATATATATATTAAAAAAAGTTAACCTTTGATTTATGCAAATATGAAGATTATAATTTATAACTTATTAGAAATAAATAATTAATTAATAAAAGTGATTCTATAAATTATAAGTATTAAATTCACGAAAATCAATAGTCAAAATTTGATGTAAGACTTATTATTTTTACACAGATATAGTTGATCATATATATATTGTTGGTCATGTGACTGCTATACAGTTTTATTCAATCACCCCCTCATAATTATAATATTTTTTATTTTTCTTTCTTCGAGAACATTGACATGGGGAAAAAAAAGATGTACTCCCCAGAATTTATAAGGACTGACTGGCCAAAATTTTATAATAAATAACTGAACAATATATGAAAATGATTTGATACCTGATTTGTCCTCTTGAAGACAGAAGTGGGTAGTTGCACCAGTTCCCTTACGGTCAGAATCCTTCCTCCAAAATCCATTAGCTCACTCTTTTCACCTACCAATACCCTTTCTCTTTCTTATATTTCCCATTTGTTTCTTCACTTACTAGTTTCTCTCCTCCATCTACTCACACCCATTATTCATTCAAATCATGGATTTTTTGCAAACACCAGAAAATCAGATACTTGTGGGTGTGGCCGTGGCTCTTGTAGCCGTTGGGGTTGGTGCTATTTATCTCTATTCATCTAAGAAGACCAAAGGTTTGATCTTTTTCAACTTCATGTTTTTCCCATTTGAAATTCTAATTCTACCCCCTTCTGCTTCGATTCATGAACAAGGGGCGATACTCCCAATGTGTTGTCATTTTCTGGGAATTTAGTGTTTGGGTCTTCTCTGTCTTAGTTCTACAAGTAAGAGAAGACCCAACATAGTTCTGTTGATTCTATGTTAGAATATGAATTAAACGTGGGAGTTTGATTTTTTCAAAGATGTCTTGATTCTCACTTTTGTTCATAGAGCTTATTATTTTGTTTTATGGCTTGTTATATAAGTCCTTTAACTTGTTTAACATTGTTAATGCTATGAAGAACAATCCTTATATCTTAAGAAAGGCCAATAGTGTGCCTACTAACATTACTCCGGTGTGTGTATTGCTACATGGAGAATTCTCGTTATATTTGTGTAGTAATTTTAATTTGATTGTCAGTGGAATGGATCATGACATAAACTATCCCTAAGCTTCAGTTTCTATATGTATTCTCTTGTTGCATGATATCTCTACTCTTGGCTGTTTGTGTTGCTGATTAATTAGTAGCTCGTCCATATAATTTGGTGGGACTTTGCATCCAGAAATGTTTGTCACTATGATGCAGGCTGAGGTTTAATGTTAAAAGTATGTGTGATGACCTTCGGGTTTGTAATTATTTTTTTATTTTATTGTTTTCTCTAACTAGAAATCTTTGGATATTAACATTTTGGAACCATCTGGAATTCAGTTTCTTTCTTGTTACTAGACAACCCTGCTCTGCCTCGGTGTTCAGGTTGATTACATAATGGTTGCTCTTGATTCTATATTTCTGTTCTTTGTAGTGAGAATAGATTTTCTCACTACTTGGAATCTTTTTTATACAATTGAATGTGAAAGACCTAAATTACATGTTTGATTGCGAAACTAAATTGAAGCTTGATGGCTGCCCGAGATTATTAAAACTTAAGGCACTCAATCTTTGGTGATTATATTTCTTGCACTTATCTCTTTTGTTATCTTGTTAATTTTGATTGTTATTGTATCTAGTTAAAGTGTTCATTCATGTCATCAACATGCTTACAGGTTCCTTGGACCCCGAGAATTTCAGGGAGTTTAAACTTGTCAACCGTGCACAGCTGAGCCATAATGTTGCAAAGTTCAAATTTGGACTACCAACACCTACTTCTGTTTTGGGCCTTCCAATTGGGCAACACATAAGTTGCAGGTTCTGTTGCCTGATCTTGTATCTTGTGTCTGTTTTCCTTGTCATTGTAATCAGTTCTGCATATATTTGTGTTTAATCTAGTATCTACTCACTATGTTCTCTTAATATTGACTGAGAATAACTATTGCAAATGCTCAATTATTGTAATAACTAGTAATAGGAATTATTCCCTTTTTTAGTTTCTTTATCAATATTTTGTTGTCATATTGTGAACAAGCTATTTTCAAACAGGGGTAAGGACAGTCAAGGTGAAGAGGTTATCAAACCATATACCCCTACTACTTTGGATTCTGATGTTGGATATTTTGAGCTAGTTATTAAGGTATATTCAGAGTTGACTGGTTTTGTCCTTATGCTTTGTCCCTTAATTATTTGGTTGTCTGTCTAAAATATGCCTTTATTAGATGTATCCACAAGGAAGGATGTCACACCATTTCCGTGAGATGCGTGTTGGTGACTATCTTGCTGTGAAAGGACCCAAGGTAATTTTTTTTTCTATACAAAGTTTTCTAGGCTTTCCATTTTCTTAATTTTTTGTTGTAAATTTGATGCTTTATTCTTGTTCACATATAAGTCTTGTGCCCTGTATGGTTGTTGTAGAAATTTCTAATATTTTTTAAGTATATTTGATTTGATTTTATATTTTGATGAGATGGTGGAGATCTTACAGCAACAAGTCAAAATCATGTTAAATGTCTAAGCCCAAGGAGCAGAGCCGTTTGAGTAACATATTTTGTTACATTTTTCTGAACATTATTTTTCTATTAGTTAATTAAATAATATGTTGGGAATTTTCCTTTTAGGAAAGCTTGTGAATATTTTAGAAGCCATTGCTCTTTGTTAGATATATCCTGGTAGTTAATGTGTATATCTAATGCCAATATTGCCCCAATTAAGTAGCAATGTTTGGACCAATTTTAGGAGATCACTGTTCCTGTAATTATTGCTGCAAACTTGCAATTAATACTCACTTGTGATGCACAATTCCAGCATACTCTCTAATTCTCTTTATTCCGATCCATATGAATTGTAGGCTCTACATAGACACTTATGTCCACTTGGCTTAGTTTTCCTTCTTTGACTTAGTGAGGACTTTTTTTTAATCATTTTATCCTTATGAATGTCATGTTTTTGTTTCCCTCTTTTTGTTTCATTGTGTAATGCAGTTAAATGCATTTTCAAATTTATAATGTTTTATACCCTATCAAAGATTTTTTATTTGGATAGTCGGGCTTTAAGACATAATTGCTTCCAGGGACGTTTCAAGTACCAACCAGGCGATGTTAGAGCATTTGGGATGCTTGCTGGAGGGTCTGGAATCACTCCAATGTTCCAGGTATATCATTAAGACACATGCTCTTCCTTAGTTCATCATTAAGAGGAAAATTCTGTGTCATTGAGTTCTCTGTGTTATTAATTTGTTTGCTTGTTGCCGTTCAAGGTTGCTAGAGCTATACTAGAAAACCCAAATGACAGGACCAAGGTGCATCTTATCTATGCCAATGTTACATATGAGGACATTCTTTTGAAGGTAACTAGTATTTATCTTTTCAATTGATATATGATATTCTTCCTTTAATTTAAGAATGTCCGAACTTGACACTCAATTCAGATTATCCCTAGCTTCATGCCAGCTTTAAGTTCTATGATCTTGTGGTCACTGTTTGGCAAACTGAGAGATTGAAAATGCATTATGATGCAATTTTTTTGTTAATTACATGACAAACCCACTAATTATTCAGTTGATGATCTTTTTGTGACAGTAGAATTAATTCCGCAGTTTGAGAGTATGTGATAGCTTTCTCAAATGCCCAAGTCAATTTTCTTAAGTTTTGAAGTTATTTTTAGTAGTCATAGATAGGATATGTCAAAAAAGGGGGATATATGCATATATCCACTGGAAAGCAGTGAGATTGTGTCTCTCCCTCCTACACACTTGCCTCTATGGGATGGTTTACTAACTGGTTTAGCTACTTCCTATATTGCCACAAGAAAATATTATTCTTCTATTCATTATTTTTCCAGAGTGTGGAGCAAACATTACACTCATGGAGGGGGCATTGTAAGTGCCTAACAGTTATAGAAATCTATTTTTTAAGAATTTTGTAGTGTAAAAGAATTGAACAACTATTTTCCGGTAGAAGCTATGTATGGTATACTATACTAAATCATATTTATTATCCTCAGTTCTTTTCCTTTGGTCAATGCTTTCATAGAATAACAAGTTTGCATCATGAGTTCCTCTCACTGGCATATGCCTGCATTTTGAAACTTGTCATTTATGGAAATCCACTTTTATGTATGTTCAGGAGGAACTTGATGGGCTTGCTACTAACTATCAGGATCGGTTCAAAATATACTACGTGCTAAATCAGGTTAGTTGCTATGGGATGCAAAACTAACAATTTTCTTCTGGATTAAATTTGATGCTTTTGCTTCGTTTCTAGAGTAGTCATGCAAAAACTGTCTTGATAACATCAAATAATAAGGTGCCAACAAATATTGATTAAAAAATATAAGCAACAATTCAATATTTTGTTCACAAATTCATGTAGAAAATTTATGGTCATTATAAGAAGGACAAAACTTCATTGGACTTAATGGAAGAAATTAATAGAATTTGGCCATGATCTTTTGAGTTTCCTGATCCACTTAACAGCCAAACAGTAGATATTTGTCTTTATAAGTTTCCCAACTGCTGAACGCATCGCTGTTTGTTGGTATTGGTATTGATGAAGTGAGTTATAAGTTCATGGTATCTTAATTGTCAAAAGCTTCACAATTAATAAGAATATTGCAACAGAGCTAGGTCTATGCATCCACTCTCATCAGGGCATTGGGCTATCTGCGTTCTAACTTGAACATTGTCATGGCTAACATTATGATGCTTTCTGGAAACATTTCACCTTTCAGGTTGCTCAATTTTGTTTGTTATTGTTAGATAATATTTGGGATATCTTTAGATTTTCTTACAATATCTTTAAAATATGATGTGGAATCAATTAGTTATCTAATGGAGGAAACAATTTAGGAGTTGTTTGATGATTGTTACATTTCCTGTTAGTAGTCTTATTGTTAGTGGGCTTGGGGTTGTGCCTTAGTGCCTAATAAATAAGAGTATTAGGTTAAGGTATTGTGTTACATACTTACATTACATCTATCAATAATATTTTCAGTTTATTACCTTGAGCAATCTTTCTCTCTTTTTCTAAATCTATAATTCTTGACAGTATAACTAATAATCATTCTATTTTATGTTACTCCCTTGAATCATGCAATCTCTCTAGCCTCCTGAAGTATGGGATGGTGGTGTTGGTTTTGTATCAAAGGAGATGATTCAAACCCATTGCCCTGCTCCAGCACATGATGTCAAGGTAATTGTTTTCATTATTTTACATATTCCTCCAAAATGATGTTATCATGTTTTCTTTTGCTTATTGTCATGTAAAAGGAAGATAAATGATTAGACATTTTCCTCGAGGATTTTCAGATATTGAGATGTGGCCCACCACCAATGAACAAGGCTATGGCTGCTCACCTTGATACCCTTGGATATGCTTCTGAGATGCAGTTCCAGTTCTGATTGTCTTCATTGGAGTGCTTAACTTGGCATTTCATGGCCTTGGCTGTTAACAAATATGTAGCAATTTTCTCTCCTGGCTATGAATCTGTGAAGCCTTGGATCAAAGTGCATTTAGTTTCACAACAGTGTGGAATAATTGTTTCTCATTTGATAATGAGATTGCTACAGTGACCATGTGCTAGAAGTGCAAAATAATTAAACTTACTAGATTGTTATACTGTATTAACTTGATCTCAATATCATATTTTGATTGTGCTAAATTTTGGGATAAAAAAATCATGCATAAGTTAGAAGAGCTATATAATCATATATGGATGGTTAATTTTACTAAAAAATATTTTGACTATTCCCATAAGATTAAATGATTAGTATTAGATTTTTTCATGCTCTCACACTCTTGCTTGATGTGGTCCCTATATATAGAGAGAGAAATGTTAGCAACACACTTTAGATTATTTAGTGGTCTCACTAAATAATCTGAGCTCACTCTTAATTTAGTGTGAATTACATGAAATATACTTACTAATAGAGAATGTGTTGCAAGCACTCCTAGTATATAAAATGTTTAACAATGATGCATCAACATTGTATGCAGATACAGTTGTATTAAAAAAAAAAAACTTTTTATATAATGTTAACTTTAGCTATGTAATGGTCCCATTTGGAGACATGATTTTTTTTTTTTTTTTTTTGGTGTGGAGACATGAATTTAATTGTAATGATAATGTAATTTTCATCAATTTGAATTTAATTATTCAATCGTATGAAAATTAGTAGATGTTTTACAACTGTATTTTTAAATAAATAATGTAACAATATTATCGTGTTATCCATAAAGTATTAATTTGAGTTAAGAAGCTTAATATTTTTTTTTTTCAAAAAATATAATTTTGAAATATTATGTAATATTCGTTCAAGTTGAGCTAACTCGAAGTGTTACTTAATTGTAGTCTAAAATATACTGAATATAATTTTAATAACACGGCCAAAAATTTATTTATATATTATTTATAAAACGTCATCGAAGAACTTTTTAAGGATAACTTTTCCCTTTCTAACATTTCCAATTCTTGGTGCCACGGACAAATCCAATTAAAAAATTTCATAATAATTTTCCACCGTAAAAATTAATGAGAAGAGGATTGCGTTTCATTTGTTTTGATGTCGTACGATCATTTACCTGAGAAATTCGTAATACTTTCTGATTTGCAAATTTTGAAGTAACCTTCTACGTAAATAATATTTGGCTCAATAGCTCTTCATTTAAAGAAAAGGTTAATGTATTCAGCGTATAAGGAACAGTTTGTCACTTTTAAAAAGCTAAGTTAGTTTTTGCCAATGAAAATAAGTGTTTAGTCCACACTTGGCACGAATGTTCTAATATGGATTAAGCCTCACCTTCTTTAGGAAGGGTGGTTCAAGTACTAAGGATCGTAATTAGGGGTGAAAGTGGGTCGGGCCGGCTTACAGGGGTCTACGGCCTAACTTTTATCAGACTGAGTTTGGCTTATTACATATAGTCAAATAGAACAGACTCGAACTTTTAAAGAAGTCTATTTAGAAAGTAGGTGATAGGCTTTTTTTTACATGCCGGACCTATAAGTCTACAGGCCGATCTATATCATATTATTTATTTTAAAAAAAATAAAATAATATTATTTATTTTAAATAAAATAATATTATTCATAGTAGTACAAAATGGTGATAATTCAATTGGTGCATGTGAGCTAAGTAGGTGGTGGAAGGACCTAGGTTCGTTTCCTCACCAATACTATCTTTGAGAGTTGCATAAAATCTGTACCAATCTCTATAGTACCATAAAAATCAACATTATTGATGCCTATAGTTCTATCTTGGCTAAAGATACTATCCAAGCGTTAATTAACATAAAAGGTATAAATTTAATCAATTGAAATTATTCTACAATTTAATTATATTTGATTAAATTTTAATAGAAATTTGGATATATTTTTTATATAGGAGGAACCAACATCTCAGTATATGAGATTGCTTATATGAATCTATTAAAAGATTTTTTGTTTCTTAATCTTATTTTTTTGTTTCTATTCTTTATTCTTGTTTTTTGTTTTCTACATTTGCAAATTGTTTGCCAACTTATGTAATCTTGGAATTGTATTTGAAGGAGAGTGAAGAAGAAGATAAATTTTTGGCTACTACAAGCATCATAATGGTGTTTGTTGGATTTATGTAATTATTTTAATTTACATAGTATAGATTTGTTTGTTGGATTTGATGAAATATATGTTATTTAGTTTGAGCATTTTACTTTTGAAAGTGACTTAAGTACAGATTATGATGATTTTTGTTGTGATTTATGGTTCTGTTTGGATATTGAAATTGTGATTTTTGTTTTAGCAATATAATTTGAGTATTTTGTGAAGTTGATTCATAATTTTGCTTAGAAGTTAAAAATTAACAGGCTAACGAGCCAAGCCAGACCATTTGTTTTTTTTTTAAATGGGCCAAGTCAGATTAACAGTTAGACTTGCACTAGGCTTGGGCCAGACCAAATTGAAATTTTTTGACATAAACTTAAACTTATCGGGACAAAATTCGGCCCAGCCCAACCCATTTTCACCTCTAATGCCAATGGTACTGGAGTATCTACACCCATAATATGAGGGTAACAATTTTGATACTCATTAATACACACATTCAATGGTTACTTACCAGGACCCGTAGGGAGTATATCTCTTTTCCAAGTCAAGAGCAAGTAGCTCCCTCTTAAATTCCAAGTCAAAATAACATTTTACCACTTTTAGCTGTTTGGAGCAATCGTCATTTGTCATGTTCTCCCTTTCTTATTTTTTAGGGGACAATATCCTTAAAATTTAAATGCATACATGCATTCAATTGCCAACACAAGGTGAATATCCGGAGAAAGAATTTGAATTTGATTCTTACTTAATATATTTTTGGGAAAGGACAAAACTTTAAGTCTTTAACTAAGCTCTAATTTCAAATTAATTTCATAACTAACTCAAAAAATTAAAGTTTATAAAAAGAGACAAGATCATCTTACACCGGTGTAAGAATAATAAATCTTACACCAAATCTTAACCATTGATTTCCGTGCATCCAATGGTTGAGATTTATTGGGAATTAAAAATTAATTAATGAGTGAGACCTAATAAATCTTAACCGTTAGATGTAGAAAATCAATGATTAAGATTTGGTGTAAGATTTATTATTCTTACACCGGTGTAAGATGATCCTGCCTCTTATAAAAATACTCAAAAACAAACTCACTTCAAAGAATTAATTAGAATGAGTATAAAAAAAACAAACAAATGCATACTGGCAACTCTGGCCCGATGAAAACATGGTTGTACTATGCCACTCTCCGGCTTTTTGACCTTAGTAGTTTGATTTTGATAAGGTTTTACCCGAATAATTTCTTGATCAAAAGTATTACCTATATAATGCATAACGACGTGGTATCATGGGAATCACGTTAAGACGTGACACTTTAGCAACCGCGTCCTTTGCATTTGTTCCTGACGACTGGAACGTGATACCCTGGCAATCACGTCCTATTCCCAAGACTACTGGAACGTGATACCTTGGCAATCACGTCCTATTCCCAAGACGCGGTACACTCTCAGCCGCGTGTCAGTGTGTCCCATCCCAAAAAGAATTCTACAGGAAGCGGTAGTGTATAAGTCGCGTTCCAAGTTACAAGTCAAGTCAGAGTCAAACATATATATATATATATATATATATATATATATATATATATATATATATATATATATATTTCACCTAAAATTTAGATATATTGATATATTCACGGTAAAAGAGTTCCAAAAATCCAATAAAAGCAACAAGTTATTCACTTACACACTCACTCATACGAAAGCCCTTTGGGTTTGAAGTATGAATTTTGCATAGATTCTATTTTTTTTGTTTACCTTAATATAAATCATTAAAAAAAACTCTCACTCATCACGTTAAAATTTTGGATTAAATTGTTTCTTTCACATATTGGAAATTGGGAAAGCAGACCAAACACAAAACAGGGGTATAAGATTGGGTACTATTTGATTTATTGGATTTTATGAACTCTTTTACAATGAATATATCAATATGCCTACATTTTAAGTGAAACATATATATGTGCTTGACTCCGACTTGACTTGTAACTTGGAACGCAGCATATACACTACCGCTTTCTATTGAATTTTTTTTGGGATGGGACGCACTGACACGCGGCTGAGAGTGTACCGCGTCTTGGGAATAGGACGTGATTGCCAGGGTATCACGTTCCAGTAGTCTTGGGAATAGGACGTGATTGCCAGGGTATCACGTTCCAGTCGTCAGGAACAAATGCAAAGAACGCGGTTGCTAAAGTGTCACGTCCTAACGTGATTCCCATGGTACCGCGTCGTTATGCATTATATAGGTAATACTTTTGATCAAGAAATTATTCCGGTAAAACCTTATAAAAATCAACCTACTAAGGTCAAAAAGACCCACTCTCCTGATTGCACTGTGCCAATGCTGTAAGTTGATTTCATTAGTTCTACTCATTATTGGCATAGACCGAAATTTTTAAGGTGTCGTATGTCAAAAATGACCCCACATTAGTTGTCACGCAAAGTTTTGAATCAGAAGAAGAATTTTGGTGGTCCCATGCCATAATTGATTTAAAGGTTCGGATGAATTAAAATCTGATAATTATTAAGCAGAAAAAAATGAAATTTATTTTTTTATCCAAATATCATCCGGTGAATAAAAAGACCGCACGGATCCTGGAGTACCAAAAATTTCATTACGTAATAGAGCAAATCAAAATTAGCCAAGCTACTCTAAGCTTTGACTTCTCGATATAAAAAATGCTATTAGATAAAAAAAAAAAAAAAACTATTAGATAATATAATGATGGGAAGCATATCTTTAACCTATGTAAACGAAAAAACATAGCCCACTGGGCTAGGCCCTCTTTAATTCCCAAAAAATAAAATAAACATAGCCCAAAGTTATCTTTACTAAAATGAAAAATAAGAAACACTTTAAAAGCCAATTCAATTTTCCGAAAAGAATGTGGAAGATAAAAAGATAAAAAGGTAGAAAGAAGATAAGAATTCAATTTGAATTCGAAACCGTTGATGTAACCCGAAAGGCATAAAAACTGTTACCTTCCCTAGATGATGTTGTCCTCACATAGGACGTTCTAGTTAAAGCGGTGAACCAATATTATCACATAATTCAATGTTAAAAAATCATTTTTCAAATCACAAAATGTCTTATGCTGAAAATGGAGACCCAAAAATCGTGACCTCAAAGCTTAGGAAGAACGCTTCCACAGTTAGACCCTATTCCCACGCTTGCTTCATATGACACATCACTCATACACACAACAAACAAAGAGAAAACCACATGCAAAGTTTTCTCTTCTTTCACCACCCACAGTTACTAAGGCAACAACCATTTTTGGAACCTCATTTTCTTCATGCAACCATCCCTTTTTGTTTATTTTTTTTTTTATATGCCTACCATAGTCATGGTTATTTCAAATAGTGAAGTGCAAGGTCGTTTCAAACATTGAATCCAATTACAATGGCTGAGAGAAATGTGTCTGCCGTTAAGGTTGTTTCTAGGAAGTCCTTGTGTTTTTTCTTCACTATGACAACGTTCTTGTTTCTTATGTCTTGGTTGTTTGTTTTGCGTTCCACGCGTTCTGAGGGTAGTTCAAATTCCATAGCCCAAAATCTGTTACCCAATTCAAAGCTTTTCTCTACCTCTGATGACTCTGATTCTGAGAAGCAGAACCAGACTGTGGAGTCCTCGTTTGGCAACCGAGCAATACTTGTGAATAGTGATGAGAATGTTGAAGCAATAACCAGAGAGAGTGGGAAATGTAGCAGCACGCATGGTGATAAAGTTGTTCTAAAAGTTTTCATGTATGATTTACCTTCTGAGTTCCATTTTGGACTCTTGGATTGGAAAGATGAAGGAAAGAGTGTTTGGCCTGATATCAAAACTAACATACCCGGTTACCCTGGAGGTTTGAATTTGCAACATAGTATAGAGTATTGGCTTACTTTGGATATTCTTGCTTCAGAATTATCTGAACCCTCCAATTCTAGAACTGCAATTAGAGTTAGAAACTCTAGTGAAGCTGATGTTATATTTGTGCCATTCTTTTCTTCTCTGAGCTATAACCGATACTCCAAGACTAGTCCACGGGAAAAGAAGAGCAGGAACAAGGTTCTGCAAGAGAAATTGGTGAAGTATCTGACAGCTCAAGAGGAATGGAAGAGGTCAGGGGGAAGGGACCATTTGATCTTGGCTCATCATCCAAATAGTATGTTGGATGCAAGAATGAAGTTGTGGCCTGCTACATTCATACTCTCAGATTTTGGGAGGTATCCTCCAAATGTAGCCAATGTTGAAAAAGATGTGATTGCACCTTATAAACATGTAATTGGGTCCTATGTCAATGATGATTCCAGCTTTGATAGTCGTCCAACATTGCTGTACTTCCAAGGAGCAATATACAGAAAAGATGTATGTTCCACTTTCTCTTTGATATCTTGGTTTTGTTTTTTCTTTAGCTGTTGAGAGAATTAAGTCTTTACATCCTGAATTCTTAAGTTAGATAACACTGTAGTTCTTAATCTTAAATTTTACTTTACAATTAGATGATCGAAAAGTGCTTTCTATGACTGCTGAATCCCCTGCTCTTAAGGAGCCACTGGATAGAGGAGTCTTAGTTATGTTTCGCAAATTGGGCTCCTTCCTTGAGTGTATGCTATATGTCTGCTGTTGCTCCCTCAAGGCTATTCAGTCGTAGTAAGAAAGTATAATAAAGGAAGCCATTGGATCCCTTGGTCCATTGTTTCTAACATTTGATGAGATTCAAACCCATGAGTTCCTGCACCCCTAGGTGTTATGAATTCCGTATTTTGCTTAATTAAGTTTAGTACACCAAGATGGATTGCTTGGAATTATTTCTTTGGTAACATAGTCTTTGAATTTTGTTTATGTTCATTTTGATTTTATGCAATGCCAATATCCAGCACTGCCTCTTTGTTTGGAAAAATAATTCTTTGGTCATCTTAGTTACATGTACACAAAAGAGGGTGAGCTTGGAGCAGCCGTAAAGCTACTCCTTCGTGAAATAGTCAACTTTAAGATAGAATTAAGAGGTTAGAGTTGTGCTTGTATTAATAAGACTAGAAAATCAAGTAGCTTGTCTTGTAAATCACCTCCATGCTCAGTACTCTTATGAATTTCTGTTCTCGAATGCTTCCTCAGGTTGCATCATATACACAGGGCTAAAGTGTTCTGAATCTTAACTTTATTTGTGTTTTCCATAAAAATCAATTTCTCATAACTGTATGAGGAAAGTAATGGAGCGAGCTCATGTTTTGGAAGAAGGTAGTTTTCATGGTTAGCGAAGTGAATGAGGCCCCATCTGGATTTTGTTTTTGACTGAAATGCATATATTTAACAATAACAAGGTGTTGGTTTTCTTAGCAGCATCTTTGAAGTTCTTTTATGTGTCTTTCTTTTTTGAGTTTGTAAAGAACCAATTCAATTCAAAAACTTAAGTTATTGGGTGAGACTACATTAATGATTTTATATATTTCTAACACGTTCCCTCACAGTATAGCTCATTGGGTTTGAGAGGTGGATGATACATCAGACTCTACCTGTGCTAAGAAAATCCATAAAGAAAATGGGGTGCGGCTAGGATCGAACCCGAAACACCGAGGCTCTGATATCATATAAAGAACCAATTCAATCTAAAAATTTAAGCTGTTGGGTGAGACTACATTAATGATTTTAGACATCTATCACAGAGTTCATTAAGTGAAGAGTTTGCCCAACAATTATCTTGTTTCTCTTAAACATTTGTCCTGTGAAGTCACCTTTTTATTATACTCAGTTTTTTTTTAGCTTATTACCATTTTACCATCTTGTTTTATTCCTTTTTGCTTGTTAAGCTTTTGAAATTTTCTATGTAACTTATATTTTGCTCATTAAAATATGTTATTCTCAAGTAGAGTTTTTTCTCATGCTCAGGGAGGTTATGCTCGGCAAGAACTATTCTATCTTTTAAAAGAAGAAAAGGATGTGCATTTTTCATTTGGAAGTGTTCAGAAAGGTGGAGTCAAGAAGGCTACAGAAGGCATGCGTTCTTCCAAATTCTGCCTCAACATAGCTGGTGACACACCTTCATCAAACCGCTTGTTTGATGCAATAGCGAGTCACTGTGTTCCTGTTATTATCAGTGATCAAATTGAGCTTCCATATGAGGATGTCATTGACTACTCTGAGTTCTGCATATTTGTTCGTACAAGGGATGCTATAAAAAAGAAGTATCTAATAAACTTCATTAGGAGTATAGGCAAAGATGAGTGGACAAGAATGCGGAACAAGTTGAAAGAGGTTCAAAGTTTCTATGAGTTTCAGTTCCCATCTAAGGAGGGTGATGCTGTCCAAATGATTTGGCAGGCTATTGCACGTAAAGTTCCTTTGATGAAATTGAAAACAAACAGGTCTAGGAGGTTTTTCAGGTCTCTTCATGGTAAAGAGAAGGGACTCAAATCAATACCTGCACCAGCTAACTTTTGGTGAGAAAGAAAGAAAAAAAAAAAAAAAAAATTTCTTTGGAGCTATATGCATCTCATACATCATAGCTTTTGCCCAATGTAAGAATACTATATACATATCAGTTATGATTTTGATGCTGATAATGTAACGTTCATACCTTAAGACTATGATAAGAAAGAGGATTTAGGCAATCTAGTTCAACTTGTGGTTGGACTTGCGGGTATATAATGAAAATTTTTTTGTTCTTCATTCGATCAACCCGTTTCAATTAGTGATATTCCATGTTGAATGTGAATTTTTTTTAAAATCAACCGATTAACTGTGAATAATCCAAATCACATTAAAAGAATTACTTTTTTTTAACCGGTTTAAGAATTCAATTATTTTCTTCGAAATAGTTCAATAATCAAATAATTTTTTCAAAATTTAAATCAACGAATTGACTTTGAATTATCCTAATCACATTAAAAGAATCATTTTTTTTAACCAGTTTAAAAATTCAATCATTTTCTTTGAAATAGTTCAACAACCAAATATTTTTTCAAAAATTGTTTCGGTTTTTGAATCGAGTTACATTACCAATTTGGTTTAATTTGGACTAAAAAATGAAATGAACTGAACTGTGAAACAATCAAATAAATTGAACTGCAAATCAAATTAAACTGCACCATATATTTTTAAATTAGTTTTAAAAACAGAATTATTTTTTCCGAACTGATTGAAGAACCAAACTATCTCTTAAAATCGATTTGATTTGTCATAACTAATCACTTCTTTTGGATACAAATGAGAATTGAACACATAATCTAATACAAACTATCCAAACTCCTTACTATTAGACCAACTCGAGTAGCTTAACTTAATCACTTTTTAGGTTAGTTTTTCAGTGCACACCCCTAATTCCATGACACTAACTAGGATGTTGCTTTGATTTTCAAAATTTTCTGTCTATACAAATTGATCAATGAAATTTCAACTAATTAAATTTATTCCTTTGAAAAAAAACTGTATAAAAGGAATTTTTAAAAACTAAAACAGCACAAATAATATTCTGTAAGGACTCAATTATATATGGAAAAAATATTTCTGCAGGTTATTTGCATTTATTTCCAAAACGATGTTGTTTTGGTATTAAAATTTTAAAAAATTATAAATATAAAGACTATTATAACCCTGAAATAAATTAAAATTAAAAAAATACCATAATTTTCACACGTCGTATTGGGCTTACTGCAGGTAACTTATCTGCAGTAACTGCAGAAAAAACGAATTCATTATATATTTACTCAAAATAATGTCCATTTTATAAACTTTTTATGTAAATATTATTGTTTAGCAATGAGCAGGTTCAAAAGCGAGCCCAACGTTGTGGCCCAAAGCCCGTCTCACTACAACACAGACCACTATAGAACAAATTGTAAAACCCATGTTAAATCTCAAAACATGTTAATTCCTTCAAGAATGAGAATGGCGTTATCCCAACCTTCATGTTTTTCTCTGACACCACTTCCTCTTCCTCGTCCCTTAATTTCTCAGCTCCAACGGCACCGTATTGTTAGTCTCAAACCCTATACTTGCTCTAAACACAGTCTTGACACCGCTGTCTCCGTTAGAGCTTCTACTCCGTTAGTGCACTCAAGCAGAGAAGGGCTTGACGCTGTCAACATTGCCGAAGATGTCACCCAGGTACTACCGTTAGATTAAATTCCTATGATAAATCTCAGTAAGTTATAGTTGAATTATGTCTGTGCTACTTTTTATAATAATAATAATAATAATAATAATAATAATAAATAATTCATTTTTTATTTTATTTTGAATGATTGCTGTTGCTAATTAATGTAGTTGATTGGAAATACACCAATGGTATACCTCAATAAAGTTACAGAAGGCTGTGTGGCAAACATTGCTGCAAAACTTGAGTCTATGGAGCCTTGCCGAAGTGTCAAGGACAGGTAAATAGTTATGTTTCAAAAAGGTTTTTTTTTTTTTTTTTTTAATATTTTTTTATGATATGCTTTAGTTCTGTTTTGGATTGGTACTGTTATGTGTTAGATAATTGCACATTTGAGTAGGACTATTAATTAATCAATTTGTTTTCTTTTTCATCAAATTGAAGGGTGCTATTTACTCTGGTAGAGATATACAAAACCATTAACGTAGCTTCACCGCCCCCACTTTCTATTGTGGAATTTTATTAGCACAGGTAGGTGGGCTTGTACATTGTCCACCCTTCAAGCCCACTGGGGTTTCTTTGCAGGGACGTATTAGAGAATAGTATAAACCATTAAAAAGCCCTCACCCACCAGCTTAAGCTTTTGAGTTGAATTGATTCTTTACATACTTTACAACATTTCATGATTTTCACTTTGCAATGTACCTTTTGAGGTTATGCATCATGTGTTGACATTTGTTATTGTTCAAAATGTCAGAATTGGCTATAGTATGTTATCTGATGCAGAAGAGGTTGGAACGATTTCTCCAGGGAAGGTAAGTTGTGAAGTTTTTTGGTGTATAGATCAATGTGATCTTTTCCACTCCAGCTATCTTTGAACTTTTTGCACTATGATGTAATAATGGTTTGTTCAAAGCTGAGGATTAGAATCTTGAGTTTTCTATAAATCCCTGATTCTCTATTTGTGCAGACTATTTTAGTTGAACCAACGACCGGAAATACTGGGCTTGGCATTGCTTTTGTTGCAGCAACAAAGGGGTATAAACTTATAGTCACAATGCCTGCTTCTGTTAATATTGAGAGGAGAATCCTTTTATGTGCATTTGGTGCAGAGGTTGTTTTGACTGATGCAGAGAAGGGGTTGAAAGGGGCAGTTGACAAAGCTGAAGAAATTGTTGGGTGCACACCCAATGCTTACATGTTTCGCCAGTTTGATAACATGACTAATACAAAGGTTAAGCCTATAAGACCTTCACCTTATTAATTGCTGTGTTTTGAATTACATGGTGCATCAGTGAAAATAGATATTACAGCATAAATTGTTACATTTTATTAAGATTTATATTCACAAATTACAGATCCACTTCGAAACTACAGGGCCAGAGATATGGGAGGATACCTTGGGTAATGTTGATGTATTGGTTGCTGGGATTGGAACTGGTGGTACTGTTACAGGCACTGGAGGTTATCTGAAAATGATGAACAAAAAAATTAAGGTTTGATTATTCCTTTGATTAGCATTTTTGTTTTAGTGTTTCTGTGTTGGGAGGGGGGTGAAAGAGAAAATAAAGGAAGGAAAAAGGATCTAGAAGGAAGGAATATAACATTAGTATGAGTATTCTAGCATACATTTGATTAAACCATAAACTGAGGCCATCGCGTTTTCTAGCAAGACTTAAATTGTGCAACATACATGAGTGTATTGGGCATCTGATAGACAATTATTGATATGTGCTTCTTATATTTAAAATGCAAGTCATGCTTTATCTGTTCTATTGTCTCATCTTGCATTGAAGTTTGCCATACCATATTATGTCCTGCATAGGTGGTTGGGGTGGAACCTGCAGACAGAAGTGTAATTTCGGGAGACAATCCAGGTAAACTTTTTGAAAGTTTATGAATCATCTTTATTTTTTTTTTCTTGTTTTTCTTCTTGTCGTTAGTTTCAAGCTCAATATCCACTTAAAGTGGATTTTCTTGTCAGCTTTTAATGTATCAGAGAGTATTTTGCAGGTTTCATGCCAAGCATTTTGGATATCAAACTGCTTGATGAGGTTGTCAAGGTAAGTAAAAAATTTATTCCTCCTCTGTTGTATACTTGCGTTTTTAATTCTGGTCACAGTAACCTGCTTGGGTTATTCACTTTGGCTTTGCAATTTCTATACTAAAAACAAGCTGTATGCTTATCATGATTTTAGGTGATAGAGAGTTCAATTCTGGAGTAGGATATCTAAGTGATTTAATTGTTTTACCTGGAGTGTCATCCACTGAACACTTTTAGTTGTTTCTTTGGTGGCATTTTATTTTTAATTATGCAGTGCTTTTATCTTCATAATTTGCTTGTATAGATTATTTTGAATAACAAATTAACTGGACACGAGTGTACAGGTTACCAATGTTGAAGCTGTTGAAATGGCAAGGAGATTAGCATTGGAAGAAGGTTTGCTGGTAAGTTATATTTAAAGTATATTTAAATATATAATTTGTTTCTGTGTTTCTTATTTTAATGTCATTTATCAGCAAAGTTTTGTTGGGAATTCAAGTGAGTGATAAAAGTCCCACATTAGAAAGGAATGGGTTAAGCATAACACATATAAGTGAAATGACCCATAAACTTAAGGTTTTGGGTTGAGATATAGTGTCAGAACCCCTGTTGTGGGTTTGTCGCTTAGGCCCATTTGATGTGTGAATGGTAGTCTCCCTTAATTGGGCTCCCTCTAGCCGCTTCTTAACAGTGGTATCAGAGCCAATGGTTGATTGGCCTGGGTGTATCGAGTATTTGGAGATGGTGGTTGGTGTTCGGGTTTGTAGGCTGCTCAAATCCATGTTGTGGACCAAGAGATTGACCTACTCTCGGTTGGTAATCTCATTAATACTCGAAGAAGCTGCTGCTTGAAGGGGAGTTGACAATTGTAGTTGTAGGACTCACACTCGAGGGAGAGATTGTTGGGAATTCAAGCGTGAGTGATGAAAGTCCCACATTGGAAAGGAATGGGCTAAGCACAACATATAAAAATGAAAGGACCCGTAAATCCAATGCTTTAAGGTTTTGGGTTGAGACTTAGTGTTGGAACCCTTTGTTATAGGTTTGTTGCATAGGCCCATTTGATGTGTGGATGATAGTCTTCCCTAATTGGGCTTCCCTTGGCTGTTGCCAAACAAGTTTAGCCTAATGTTTTGGCATTATGAGTTTAGTCCTGTTAAGTTTCTGCCAAAACAGGTACTAGCACTGTTTTGCATATAAACTTAATTAGGCGATCTGCATTGAACTTTCTTTAGGTATTTTTAGTTCGTGCGTGTATTCTAGATGCAAAATTCTGTCTAGTTATCAGTTTGTCCTTCTTCGTATGTTGCTAGACATTGCATTGTCAATGTCAGTTAAAAAGCAGTTTGGTTTTTAATTTTTAGAATATGTTTTTATCATAATTATTCAAATTTCTATCTAGGTTGGGATTTCTTCAGGAGCTGCAGCAGCTGCTGCCATAAGTTTAGCAAGACGGCCTGAGAATTCTGGAAAACTTATTGTAGTGAGTTTATTTCTTTTTAAAATACTGTGACGTTCTTTTATTCTGTTTTCATTGGATGCACCCTACGCATTAAATTTATATATATATATATATATATATATATATATATATATATATATATATATAAAAGCACTTCATTATTTTAACATTGATATTGATATAATAAAAAGAAGCTTTTTGAATTTTTCTTACAACTATTGGTGTTGTGCCTAGAGATATATTTCTCTATGTACTTAAGTGCTTATATTTAGCGTGAGTTATAGAATGTTGAACTCATTAGTTCATTTTGCTCTCTACATCATCTTTGGGTCCAGGTTATGTTGTTAATTAAACATGCTTACTTTTGGTATTCTTATCTCCTTTGTAATTAAATCATTATGACTCCTTGCAAAATTAACCTCTTCTAAGCAAGATCTCTCTAGGGTCATGATGCTTCTATTTTCATTTGATTTATGAAACTACAAGATAAGTGGCTAGAAGCAAATTAAATATCTTGTAGTTTTAGATTAAGTTGGATTTCTGTGCTTCCCTTAACAGAAGTGGCAATTAATGGCGAAGTAAAAGAGTGACAAACAAGGGCCTAGGAAAACTTGGTAGTGATGTTGTCCCCGAATTAACAAGGGTGGACATTTGGAGAACAGAAATGTATACAGAATGCAGAATGCATGCATTTAGATTTTCTATTTTACTAAATTCCATGAGAAACTATTCTCATGTTAATAATGCTTCCTAATGTTGATTATTCCTAGTTTTGGTGATTGAAGGTTATTTTTCCTAGTTTTGGTGAGAGGTATATTTCCACTGCCCTCTTCCATTCCATTTATGAAGAGGTTCAGAAAATGTAACAATGATCATTTGAAGCCCTAATATGGACAATTGGCTTTCGGAGATTGAAGCTGCTCTCATGACACCATCCAAGAAAGTAGCTGCCTCATGCTTTGAGTAGGTATAATCACGCAGAAGAGTTAGTTTAGAATCAGTATTAAAAGATAACTGGTCTTCCGTATTTTTTAATTTTTTTTTTTTTTTTTAATTTTGGAATTTTTACATCAGATTCATCGTTTGGACAAGGCACAGTTCTTGGAGCTGGACAGACAAGATGCAAAGGAAACTGAGTTGATGTACAATGTTTTATTTATTTATTTTCTTGGTGCTGGTAATCAAACGGGGCCTTCCATCCTATTCTTTCCATTACATGAACAATATTCCTATCTTTTACAGGATTATTGACATTTTATTTTTATTACTATTTTCCCAAATGTATCATACATATGTAGATATTTATGGGAATATTACAGACTGACGATAGTATGGTTGGCGATGATTTTATTAGTGTGCAATACCATTATTTATTCGGCAGATTTAGTGCTTTCGTGCAAATTAAACTTTGCACCTTAAAATAACATTGAAATGTATTCTAAAGTATTGAGTGTAAGGATGAAACTCTTACGGAAATAACTCTTAGAATAGATATGATTAGATATGATTAGATTTGAATAGATTACTTCCTATCTGTAAATATTCTTCTGGATTAGTTCTGGGCTTTCCACTTAAGTTCATTAGGGTCTCTATATATTGTAACTCTTTGTATCAGATTAATACACAACATATTATTTCATATTCAAGTTGGTACCAGAGCTCTTTTGTTCTGGGGACCCTCGCTTCCGCTTAAAACCTTGTTATCGCTTTAAAACCTAAGTCCACTGCTTAGGAGTCCTCTTTTCTTTGCCGTGCGTCCTTCTGGCAAGCCATCTAGGGTTGTAAGCCCCTTTTGAGTAATTTTTGAACGTGTCAGCACCTCCGACGGCCACCGGAACCACCGTTCGTCACTGTTCAGGCCGCCAGAGAAGTTTTCTGGCGAGTTTTCAGCCCAGACCACACGCGATCAGGACCGTCTCTTCCCGGCGACCAAGTCTGTGGAAGTCCGACCACCATCGTAGCCGTCACGCGTTGCCTGTCTCCTCTGCGCGTGGTGCTCACGCGCCACCTTCTGTCGGCGTGTGTGCATTGTTCCGGTGGAATTTTCTTGCAGTTCTTGGACAGAAAAGCTCGTCCTCTCCCCCCCTTTCCAGATCTGTGATTGGATCTTTGTGGGTCTCACTTTTTGTGCGCGCCTCTTCTTGATTTGTGATCAGGTTCCTTCCTATTTACTCGGTTTATACCCTTGTGATTTAATATAATGACAGCAACTTCTCCTGTTCATTTGGAGGTCAATTCTCCCTCTCGTCCTGTCAAAAGTTCTTCTAATATCTTCTCCACCAATGTTGGGCCCATTACCTCTTCAAAGTTGAAAGGTTCTGTGAATTACAAGAACTGGGCCACCTCTGTTCGAGTTTGGTTCTTTCGACAGGGACATGAGAACTATCTCACGACTAAATCTACTGATATTCCTAAGGAGGAAAAATCTGATTGGGAAAGGATTGACAACCAACTTCCGAGTATCCTTTGGCAGTCTATTGATCCAGTCGTCTTGGACATCTTCTATTCTTTTCAAACTTGCACTGAAGTGTGGGAGGAAGCAAAACACCTCTACACTAATGATGTTCAACAGCTCTATTCCATCATGTCTCAGTTTATGGATCTGCGCAAATCATCTGACACTCAGATGGAGACATATGTTGGCAAAAGTCAATCTTTGATACAGGCATATTTGGATATGTTGCCCTACCCTACTGATGCTTCTGCATATCGAAAACAGGTGGAACGTCTCTTTATGGTTGCCACACTTTCTGGTCTCCTTGAAGAATATGATAATGTCCGGGATACTATCTTGACTAGTGGGGATCCTGATCTATCAATAACGTATCAGCGTCTTCTGAATCTTAATAAGAAATATGCTCCTGCATCGTTTGCTGTTGTTGATTCCACTGCTTTAGTTTCCCGTACTGACTTTCGCGGGAATATTGGAGGTGGACGTGGTCGTGGTAGAGGCCAGGGAGGACGTGACCCAGGAGGACGTGGTCAGCGACCTCGTTGTCATTATTGTCAGCAACTTGGTCATTATGAGGAACGTTGCTACACAAAGTATCCTCACATGCGACCTTCTCATGCTGCTAATATAGCTTAATCAGATACTGCTTCAAATGGTACAGTCTCTCTATGCTCTGAAGACTATGCAGCACTCCAGACCCTTCTTAGGAAGGCATCTCCTCAGTCTCAGGTCTCTGCTTCAGAAACTGGTAATCTCGTTGCTTGTGTTTCTCATTCTGCATCTCTTGGTCCTTGGATATTTGACTCAGGTGCTACTGATCACCTCTGTGGTAATAAGGAACTCTTTTCATCCCTTACATATTCTGATAATTTACCCTCTTTTACTCTTGCTGATGGCACTAAGGCCCCTGTTCATGGGATTGGACAAATCTGTCCAACCTCCTCATTGACCTTGACATCTGTCTATTACATTCCTGACATCCCTTATAATTTAATATCTGTTAGTAAATTGATCAACTTTCTTAACTGTATTGTCATCTTCTCAAACCATTCTGTTTCTGTGCAGGATCCGGGTACGGGGAAGACGATTGGAGTGGGCCGTGAGTCACAGGGTTTGTTCTACCTGGTTGTGCCAAGTCCTTTAGTTGTTTGTTCTCTCATAGAATCTCCACAACTCATCCACAGTTGCCTTGGGCATCCTAGTCTTTCAAAATTGCAGAAGATGGTTCCTCTTTTAGCCGGTCTTCAGACTTTAGATTGTTAGTCATGTCAGCAAGGGAAGCACATACGCTCCTCCTTTTCTAATCGAGTCAATAAACGAGCTGATGCTCCTTTTTCAATTATTCATTCAGATATTTGGGGTCCTAGTCGTAGTGTGTCTGTTTTAAGTTTTCGGTATTTTGTTACCTTTATTGATGATTTTTCATGTTGTACTTGGATTTATTTAATGAAAAACCGTTTTGAGTTATTTTCTATTTATCAAAAATTTTCTGCTGAAATTCATACTCAATTTGGTACTTCTATTTGTATTTTACGTAGTGATAATGCTAAGGAATATGTTTCTGTTGACTTTTCTAATTTCTTAGCCACACAGGGTACTTTACACCAAACTACTTGTCCTCACACTCCACAACAAAATGGAGTAGCTAAACGTAAAAATAGACATCTCATTGAGACTGCATGGACTCTTCTTATTCACATGCATGTTCCTCTTCACTTCTGGGCCGATGCAGTCCTTCATCTGTGCTTAATAATGACATTCCTTATAACTTATTGCTTCCAGATGTTCCTCTCTATCCTCTATCTCCACATGTCTTTGGTTGTACCTGTTTTGTTCATGATCTCACTCCTGGTAAGGACAAGTTAACATCCAAAGCCTTTAAATGTATTTTTCTTGGTTATTCTCGTCTTCAAAAGGGTTATCGTCGTTATTCTCCCGATCTTAAACGTTACTTTGTTTTCGCTGATGTCACTTTTCTTGATCAACAACCCTTTAATTCTATCACATCTCAATTGTCACAGATTGATCATGTTCTTCCTGTTCCTTTTCTTGACTTGTCTTTGCCAGTTGCAGGTTCTTCTATTCCAGATGAGCAACTTATTGCTTCCATACCTGAGGACCGTCCACTTCTCACCTATCAGCGTCGCAAAACTGCGCCTCCTGTCGACTCGACTCTAGCTGACTCATCGCCCACTGCTATTGATTCTTCACTTCCGGCTCCTTCACCAGAGGCTCTTTCCATTGCTCAAAGAAAAGGTACACGTACTACTCGTAACTGTAACACCCCATTACCGGACCGGTGTGTTATCATCAAATATGATATTAAGCGCAATTACAATCACAACAGTTATTTGAATTTACGAAAAAACTTTTTCTTTTTAATAATGTTTACACTTTTAAATAATCGTATAAGAAAATATACTAACTGTGATCACAACTCAAAACTTATAGTGGAAATACGAATATATTAGCTTAATACCATACAGTTTACGTTTGAAGGTGGCTAAGTGGTTCCCATAAACCAACAAAGCTTAAAACTTATCTTATTCATGTTTAACACTAACTTTCTTCGACTTTTTATTTACTCTAACAATTTTTATGCCTCTCAAATACTTCTCAATCATTAATATATTATAGGTTTCTTCATCAGCTACGCGTGGGTTCAAACCGCGTTTAATTTGGAGCACTGTAGCCCAATTTATGAATTTTCTAAGAAAATGGATGCTGAAATTCTCAGGATTCCCACGCTGATAGCGCCAGTCCCACGCTGACAGCGTCAAAATGCCCCAGGAGGCAGAGAGGATGGCGCCCATAGCGCCAGATTGGCGCCCATAGAGCCAATGCTACAGTCTCCCTCTGATGGTTGGCGCTAATAGCGTCTACTTGACGCCAATAGTGCCGCAATTCTGGAGCAAGCCCCAAAACAGGACAATTTGACCTACCTTTGTATTTTACCCATAACTTGAGTTATACTAATCCGATTTACACAATCTTAGTCTCATCGGAAAGCTAAAAGAAAAATCTATAACTTCCAAGACGGCCAAGGGGTCCAATTTCATCATATAGGAGGTGAAAATTGGGTAACACTCTATTTATATTTTCAACAATTACCAATTCTCCAACTATGTACCTAATTAATTACCAACTCAACACATTCATTATATCATTGGTCCTTCCATCAATATTCTTTACAACAACTAAATTGTTAAGCATAATCCAAGTGGCATGGATATCCCCTATGCTCACCCATTTCCAAAATGTAACAACATGAGACATATACAATTTCATATACTAAAATACAACACCATGATCAAATGACTTAGAACCACATAGGAACAACCAAAGCATGGAAACTATAATCTCATGCAATCCAATGTTCATACTCTAAGTCCAAGATACAAATAAATGCTAGTGTGTGCATCCTATGTAATCCTCCAAATGCTATGCTCTCCATATGCACATCATGATCCAACTCCTCCATGCTCGCTATAGCCTGAAATGATGTCCCCAAACGCGGGGTGAGATATACAAATATATCTCAGTAAACCAAGGGTAATAGAGGATCACACCACCCTATGGCTCACTCAATATGCAACAATTAACATCACGTAAAAATGCATAACATACAAAATCACAAACAACTGGGCACAAATTCAAGAAAATTCACATAAGGATTCCGTTCAAGGACCCCATCATATAACTCTCGGAAATCTTCCTGGTGCCTTTTCCATGGATGAGACGACCCCATGGCAAAACCCAACTGGAACTCCTCATGAGCCCTATCCAGCGGAAGTTCCCCGTTTGGATCATCCTGGTACCGC